CATGCATGCCCTCTTCGATCGCAATATAGCGCAGAACCGTTGGAGTATGCACTCCGGCGCTATCAGAGAGTATATCGAGTACTTTGGCACTAAGACTGAGTTACTCGATATCTTCACTGGAGAGGACGGACGCTGCGTTTTCAAGAGCTACACCGAAAAGATCTCGGATGGTAAGGAGATTTTGAAACATCCACTAGTTACTGCCGTGGCTGTCAACACATCCGACTTTGAGGATTTCAGTGTGCAGGCAGGCCTGCACATTGTTATTAGTGTCAAGGATTTTAAGGCTATCGTTCTTCACACAGACACCCTCAAGACAAGCCTCAAGGCTTACTATTCACAACCAACCCGACCATTACAGTTTACATACGGATGCGATGGCCTTATAGCTGAGTTCACACTGATGACATCTGGTGACTATACCGGTGCACCGCCTACACCAACGCCTACAGTTCAACGCCACACAGTGGCATCCCATCATCCAAGCAGGCAATCCTCACATGCCTCATCAGCGGCTTCTGAGCGCACAGAAACACGTAGCATGCGCTCGGAAATGCCACCACCCGTTCAGCCGGCATCACGGCGCGATCAGAATGGTCGTTTGAGGACTCCAGGCTCACGGCAGCCATCATCAGCACCGTCACAGTCCCAGGCGGTCCAAGCGCAGACAGAACCGGAGGACGAAGAGAGTTTGTTTGTGCCACACAACGACGCAGGGATGCAAGAAGAGGAAGACGCCGCATGGGCACCGATGGACTACGAGAAAGAAGAGACGCTGGGGTGGGATGCGAGCGCCAATCACGATGCTGCGATAATTCCTACGTTCCGGGATGGCGCTGGTATATCGAGAACGATTACAATGGATAGCGGCACAGTCATTGAACCAACGCAGCGGTTATCAGAGGTTAAGGGTTTGTGGTAGATAGTTAATGAGATAAAGTAGAAGGATCGATGGAGCTTCACTACAGTCCTGTGGCTTTGAGTGCAAAGTTTTATAGATTCGAATACGACTTTTATCGTCTCCTTTGGACATGAGTATGCCCTTCCGGATCGACGCTGTTGGATGAGGTATCTTGGCTTGAGTGATCTTTGCGCTCAAGGAGCCCTCGCTGGAACCTGGACAATATCGCCTTGCTGAGTCATCAACCTCTATAAACGAAAGGCACTCCATGTCCGCTCTCATTCCTCCGGATAAGTGCCGAGTATAGCTGTACCTTCTGCAACCCTGCAGTAATCCGGCCCTATTTGGTCAATCGATAATGACTGTAAAATAGCCTTCGTCTCTTGCCATGCCCTCCGTCGATTCCATCACCCTGTTACTAGAGTTGGCGCTCCAGTAGATCAACCCTCTTCGCCAAAACATCTTTCTCCAACTCCGGAAGCTGCCTGAAGCTGGTCAACAGAACATCGCTTGTATGATCATCCGCTAGATAGGCACGGTAGTACTCCGCTATAAACTCCGAGAACAATGCCTTGAGTTCAGTGTGGGCATCCAGAGCAAGATCAGCTCGGTAAATCGAACACGTGAACACCACGGGGTTCCAAAGACCCCAAAGGTGCCGCATATCATGGATGGCATGTATCTTCTCAACAATGTGGTTCAGAAGATCGTCCGCTTTTAGTTGTTCGGCGGTCTGCCAGGCAGACATGCATTGCGCGAAGAATTCGGCAAACTGCTCCTGGTCTTCTGGTTCTCCATAGCCAAAACGACCATTCGAGAGGTACTCGGCGACGAAACAGAAATCTTCTGGAGAAATGTTGACAAGCTCAGGGTGCGTCAACTCCCACGTATTTTCTCCAGTTGGTGTGAAGTAGTGTTTTGCTGAGAGGGAATCTTGGAAGTAGGTACGATTCCAAATATGGTGTTTGATCAATTGAAACTTATATCGGCGGCGCTCAGGATCTATCTGTTTGTCGCTTGCTGGGTCAACCTCGGGGCCAACGAATACCTGCACGAATTGGCTGCTCTCGCCACTTTTCATTGTCAGCATACCGAGAACTAAAGGTTTTAGAAAACTCACATGTCCCCTTCTATGACATCTCCATCTGCCGCTGCCATGTTTAGCTGTCTTTTCACATCTGCCGATTTTTTTGTGACATTCACTTTGGAGTCACCTCGAGCCGCAGGCTCAACACTTCTTCCCAGATACTCTGACGAAAACTCGTCATGCACGCCCTTGTTGGAGTCAAAATACGCTTGAAAAGAATTGTTCAGCAAGGCTTCTTGAGAAGTTTGGGAAGAACCATCATGCCATATATCCCGAGCAACGTGACTTCGCCTTCTCTTTTGCGAAGGTAACTGTGCATCCTCATCTGAAGTCTCTGATGAGAAGGACATCCGTCGCTTTGGTATTGGCGGATGGTAATCGAATGGATGGGGTTTCCTTGGATGTGAAGTCAAGGGAGTTAGGAGCCCTGACGGCCTCTCAATAGACCTGCGGGTCGGCAGCGACAGTCTGTTGTCAAAAGGTTGCATTATGGCGGTCTTAGCTTGCATGTTATCGCCCTGTGTCTTTGCACGAGTGGCTGGAATAGAGCTCTTGGGAATCTGAGAGCTAACGTCGATGATTCCCATTTCGATCGCTAACCGCATCTGCTTATCGTCGTCATCGTCGTCATCGTCGCTGTCGTCGCTGTCGTCAAGAATCACCACCTCTTCGTCTAGACTAGAAGCAAGCATTGCCTTCCAATAGTCAAGGTCAGACTCGGATAAGATATTCTCGTTGGCAATCGCGTAAGCATCCTGGAGACCTGGTATACGTCGCTTGGTAAACTCATCAGCATTCATCGGGTCGAAAGGCATTATCTGAGATGTCTTTGCCCAGCGCCTGATCGGATCAGCAATTTCCACAATCGTGACTTACTAAAGACTTACAACTGTTCAACGTTCAAGATGGGAGCAAGCTTCAGTACGATAGTATCAAAGCCGTACGGTCGCGTCCGTAGAAACGAGGCCGGCGTCACATCTTCTGTCAGACAAATGGAAGGCCATGCTGGCAGACTAGACTGGTGCTCTTGGTATAGGACCAGAGCTCCAGGTGAACAGTTGACACGCGGTTGCATCATCTTCAAGGCGGGTGCTTGTCTGGGTCTGCTACTCGATCGGTGTATGGCTAGATACTAGGAAACCAAACGATGGCAGCCTCGGCCTCTCGCCTTGTGTTGTTAAGAAATGAATGAGGTCACAGTGGAAATGAATGAGCCGCAGTCTGCAGGTATGAGTTGCAAAGATGATCTGTCGAGAGACGACGACGAGAAGGATTGAAGGCAGTAAGCAAGGGATAAATGGCCAAGAACTGGGTAGCTTTAGGATTTATAGTTCCGGAGACACGTGAAGCTTAAGTCAAGGTAAAGGTGCATGTATCTGAGACATGACTTGGGGAAGGCGAGAGAGCGCAGTACTGAGCCCACCTCCAAAAGGTGACACTTGATATAAAGGTGGCATCTCCAGGTCAGATCACCGTCTACTCAACTTCCGCGAGATGTAGTATATAAGTGAAGTGTGCTGCATATGAACGATCGTGGAAGCGGAGTACCTTCGGAGGTTGACTAAGCGTGCAGCCAATCAAGGACATCTGGCATCAAGCAAGCTCACCCAAACAAGCAGCAGCAGCCAGAGCTCAAACGCAAAACCACAAACTCTCCACAAACACATTACCGCCGTCAAACGATCGCCGTATACTCGTCCACGTCCACGGCCGTCGCGACACCGCTCGTATCCTCAAGACGCATCGCAATACCCAACTCACCTCCGTCACCACACAAATCGCAGCCATGCTCGGCGTCGCTGGCATGCAGCCCCGGCAACTCGCCGCACAAGTGCTGAACTTCGCGCTCGTACTATCTACCGCCTTCATGCTCTGGAAGGGACTTTCCGTGGTCAGCGACTCGCCTTCTCCGATCGTAGTTGTGCTGTCTGGGTCTATGGAGCCTGCGTTCCAGAGGGGAGACTTGCTGTTCTTGTGGAACCGGGGGTTGGACACCCAGGTTGGCGAGATCGTGGTCTACAATGTCAAGGGCAAGGATATTCCGATCGTGCACAGGGTGGTGAGGAGGTACGGTGGAGAGTAAGTGGACATTTTATTACGACAAGAGTGCTGTGGGATGCGCACAAAAGGGAGATGCTACAGGAGGAAGTCAGAGCTGACACATGTATAGCAAAACGCCCCTCCGTCTTCTCACCAAGGGTGACAACAACCTCGCAGACGATACCGAGCTCTACGCCCAGGGCCAATCTTTCCTCAACCGCAAGGAGGACGTGATTGGCAGCGTGGTTGGCTTCATTCCTTTTGTCGGATACGTCACCATCCTGCTGAGCGAGCACCCATGGCTGAAGCAGGTCATGCTGGGGATAATGGGTTTGATGGTGGTTTTGCAGAGAGAATAGCAAGGGTGTGTTTGGGAAGGATACGGGCTCGGCATGGACCAGCCAACACAACAAGTCGAGAGTGAGCATATGGAGGCTTGCGACTCGGCCTAGGGCTAGGATTATATACGACAGCCATTGCAGCATAGCAAGGCGTCCCGGTGGTTATATGTACCATCGTGAGAATGGTACGGTTCAATACATGTTCCAACATCACGTGCCCCGGGTTTCCTTCTATGCGGCGTGTTAAGCTGTCCCAAAACTAAATGGCGTCGGTTCTGGGGGAGGACGTATTGGGTAGTAGACCCTCCTACGCAGCACCTTGCCACGGCTGACTGGACACTGAGCACTCTGCAAGAATGGCGAAAGTTATGAGTACTTTGGGTTTATTTCGCAGGTACTAGACAATCAGGATTGTCCGAAGATAGACACACAGCTCATCAGTCATGCAATCCCTTTTCGTTTCTCTTCTTCTTGGTCGAATCCTTCTAAAGTGACATGGTGTAACGTTTCACTGGTCGATCTCTTTGTCTAGGGACACCCAGCCGCCAAAATGTTGCCGAGGCGACGCGGAGAGGTTGCTGGCCTCCTATACCAGCCACACAAAAACAAAAAGAAGGGCAAAATAGAAAGCTGCAACGTGCGGGGTTCGAACCCGCGACCCCCTGCTATCTCCAGGAGATGGGAAGCAGATACCCTACCACTGGGCTAACGATGCTTTTTGCTTCTTGATGAAAGCAAGATGGTATTAAATGTCTATAATTACTAAATTGTATCAGCAGCGTAAATAGCCTGGGCAATCTTACGCGGGTTAGGAAGCTGCAACCAGCGATAGGATGGGTTGTCTGCTTATGATAGAGTTCAATTTCGCAGGTGAAAATGAGATCTTACCTAAATCTACTCACCTGGCCCCATTGTAGATGCTCATTGGTTTCCTCTGACATGTCTGCAAACAAAGCGCGGGACGGAGTGTCTTGATTGATGGTTCGAAACGCTGGCTTGTGTGTATCGTCTGGAAGTGGAAATCAATTGCTGTTTGTGAATGTGGTATTTCATGTTCAAGGAGTAAGACATCATTCCAGGAAGGAAATTTCATCGAGCAAGGACATCGGACATAACCGGCATGGTACGCGCTACTCGCGGCCATTTGCTTCCTCAAACGCATCTATCTCAGAGATAGGGGTCATGCTGTAGGTCTCCAAAGACTGCGTAATCGAAAATGAACGAGGGTTCGAGAGACTCCGCAGTCAGAAACCGAGTAATCATTACAGTAAGCCTAGCTCAGAGCACTGCTCGTGGTGACATACTGCTTATTCGATGTATAAAGCATGGACCTCGCCCATCCTCGTGTCGATCGTCACTACTCCCGTTGTAGCCTCTAGTGTACTGTTATAGTCTCATCCTATGGGAAGATAGTCGGTAGCGGTTGACGAGCATTTGCCGTCAAGTCCTTCCATGAAAAGAGGGTGGCCGGGATGTGATGTGGCGTACCGAAGCCTGAGTAGCGTTACGCGGACGCGTCGAACCGCGTGCTAGCAGTCAATAACAAGACACCACGCTACCTGCTTGTGCGTTCGAGATGGTGTATATCGCACAGCCTTTCTAGCGTTCTTAACTTCTATTGCCGTGTACGCATGGTCCGACAGCAGCAGCAATATACCGTGTGTCCGGTTCCGAGGGCATATCACAGTGTTCAGGTGCAAAAGACGATATGTTGGTGGAGCAAATATGATCCAAAAACCGCAGTTGACTATCGTACAAAGATCATGAGCTTCGTGATGTCATCCGCGCCCTCAAACGTGAGAGAACGCCATACATCTTTGAGAAGTGTGCCGAAGCTATGTCCACGTTGGTGAAGCTGTACTGCAGCAGAGTCGAGAGAAGCCCGATCATGACTTTACTTCCGCATAGAACCAGTAAGATGAACCATGTGAATAACCGATCCTAAGCCGCCGTGACACCATACCACCAACTGAAAAAGCACAAAGAGGAAGCACAGAAGTGCTGGTTAGACTAGGTTGGAGAGCGAGTCGAGTAGACTTCTACTCGGATTCCTCCTCCTCCTCCTCCTCCTGAGCCTGCATGGAACATTAGCATAGGCGCAAGATCGTGGACACTCGTGCAACATACCTGGTAAGCGGCCTTCTCCTCCTCATAGCGCTTCTTGTCGGCAGCGGCCTTAGCCTCGTAGGGGGTACGCTGCTTCTCCGAAAGAGCCTTCCACTTCTCGCCAAGCATCTTGCCGACCTCACCTTTGGACTGTTAGCAGAGGCACATAGGGAGTGGAAACATCTGCACGTACCGAACTTGATTCCGGGGTTCTCCTCGCGGACCTTGTCGCGCTGCTCGTTGGCGAAGAACATGTAGGCGGAGAGACCGCGCTTGGGCGCGTTGGGGTCTGTTGACTGTTAGCAACAGCATCACAGCCGTGGATCCACGTGATCATACCCTTCTTCTTCTTGCCAACATCGGCCTTCTTGCCCTTGCCGCGGGTTACCTTCTCCTTAGGCATATTGCTTATGTAGAGTGTCTGTTCATACTGTCAGAAGTTGATCTTTGTCGGTTTGGTCAAACGCGTAGGTAGCAATGCCAAGTCATAATACAACGCGGGAACAATCGAAATAAAAATGAATGCAAGAGTACCGACGTTGGCAGGCGACGTGAGATGCAAGCGAAGCAGCGCCTTGCGGCGCGTGTGGAGACGCGGTTGCAAAACACCGCTATGCGTCGCGAAAATGCGCGATTTGGGCGGAGTAGAAGCTGCAGGCACTTACTATAGAGTTTGAAAGAAGAGGATTTCGAGGGGTTGACTGAAGTCTATGTGGTGGTTAGCAGGCGGGCTGTTGCTGCGCAGCGCGACGTGATGAACAGGAATTGGAACGCGAGGACGGTCGAACGGCGCAGAAATGAAGGCAGCAAGAGCTGTAGAGACGCGAATTGAGGCCAGTAAAGGCGCAGAAAATAGTATAGAGGTGTGTGGTTGTGTTGGAGATCAAGTTGATATGATATAGTGCAAGCGAGACTCACCAAAGTCGTGTTCTGCGGTGGAAGCAGTTTGTATGGAGAGGATTTGTATGGGAGAGAGCGCTGCCACTGTATGAGGACGGGCGACGGCCGCTCCCCCAAAACCGCAGCCTCCGCCAAGCGCCCGTTAGGTAAGCACCTCTGATGTTATGGCAGGCGCGCCCGCACCGCAAGCCCCTCCTAACAACGCCGGCTTGCTTCGCAGCACCACACGGGCTGTAAACGATATCGGCGAGGCACCCAAACTTGATTAGCTTTTTCTCATCATCTCGAGCACGCTGTCAGTAACTTTTTGAGGAAATTCGTTCGCATTATTGCGTCCACGAGCGATGCAGCGCGAGGCGACGTACGTTGTGCAGCATCTTGGGCGCGGCTGGCCGCTCTCGCAACCTTGCCTGGCCGGTTTTGAGTAGTAAATTGCGCGCTGCAGTCGATACGTGCTGCGACTGGTCCACGCTGCGCAAAACCGCCCTTGATCTCAGTATTGGTTGTTGGCTGGTTGATGTTACTCGCTCACCCGCTTGGCCACATTGCGCATGCCGACCGAAAGGGGCTGCAATCTTCGATGTTCTTCAAGGACCGCTTGGAGGGTGGTCCGGCCGTCAGCTTGTCTCCCTAACCCCGCAGCAGGTGGTTCTTTGCGGCATTGCTGCCAGTGAACCGAGTTTCATGCCGCCTCCGTTAACAAAAGCGGCCGGCTGTCTTGCTGCACAACCCGTGAGCTTGGGAGGCCTGGCCTTGTTGCGCGCTTTCGGCCGCTTGGATACCTTCGACATGGCTAATAGCACGCGACGCTCTCCAAAAGTTTCGCGGCAGGTTGGGTATGCTGCCATCTCGAGCCTCAGATACTCATAACGCGAGCCTCGCCATGAGCTCATTTTGCTCTCCGTTGAACAGGCGCGCTGCGCCTTACGTCACAGTCCACCTTGCCTTACGTATGGCTTGAATAATCGAGAGTGACTCCTATGAAGACCTCGGACTCCTCGACGCCTTGTGATTGCAATCAAACGTCGATCTCATTTTGACACGAGGATTCAGCTGTTCTATAGCTCTAGTTTGAGCTCCAGAGGCTATTTATCAACAACTACGTCAGCCAAGCACGCTCTCACTACTGGCTGTCAGCCTCATCTGCTTGGATTCTACAAGTATATTGTATCCTTCTTACAATTCCAAGTCGTCCGTAACAGTAGCGTGCGCCCTCCAGCACTCGAGCTTCTCAGCCGTGGCGTCTCTGCAGTATTTGGCACAAAGAGGTCACGTTATAGCTGCACCAGCAACCTGGAAGCTGTGCAAGGCAATGCGAGAACATTGTGCCCCTTCTTTCTTGTTAGAACCGTGCGGCCTTCACTCCAAAGTTTCAATCGTCCTCATCGTCCATTACCAAGTCAACTAAGCTTCCATCCGCCGCCCAATTGATGCCACTACCGACAACCATGGCTGAGAGAATGCCTTTGAGGGTTTTCATTCTTCTTCTTGAGTCTTTTAGCCCCTTCTCCACCGTCTTGATTTGTTCACGCAGCCTCTGATCATCAATGTCATCGGCTGACTGCGACTTCACGGCCTCTGCCAGAGCCAACATGGTCTCGGAGAGTTCTCTGTTTTTCTGATTTGCAACGATGTTTGCTTGTTCCATCGCGACCAGGAAGCGAGTCGAAGAAGCGAGCTTAGAAGCCAGATGGCCATGTATCATAGCAATAGTGTTGCTTTCTGAGATGAGTGGCAGTAGGCGTCTGACTGATATAAGCTTGTGCACTTACCAAGCTGAGGCACAATATACTTCTCGGCAAGGTCTGAGCGTTCATCTCCATGAACAGCCTTGAGTATAGGGTCCGTGACAAGCACATTATGGGTGATCTTGTTGCGTAGCTCGTACTCTGCCTTTGCTGCCATAGCCTCACGTTCGGCTGTGATCAGCCGTTCCTCCAGGTCGTCATCTGAGAGCGTAGAAACTTCGGGTATATGTGCTGCTAGAACATCAGTCTTAGATCTCAAGATCTGCGGAGCAATATGACGTACACAAGTTGTGTGCTTTCACCAAGCTTTGTTGAAGCTCCAACTCTCGTAGCTGATCATACAGATTGAGGGCTAGGTCCTCAGGTTCGGTAAATGTGAACGCGTCGCAGTGTTTTGTTTGCAGCAAATCACTGATGTCACCAGCAACCTGTAATTCAACAGCTGGATCCAGTATAACGGTATCGCCTGTATCTGCCATCCCAGTTGTAATTTCAGCAAGATTTGAAGTCCGGCGGGTGACTTCGATCGCACGTGTGACCATCAGTTATCGCGCGTGAATGATGCGGCCGTGCGCCGAATCCCTGCGGCAACCTGCTTGGCATCTGCCGCGGTACCATGCGCAAGGCAAGCTTCAGTTTCCTCTCACACGCCTGCTGCATGATTTTTCCAGGGCAGCAGGAGGGCTTGCCGAATGTCGCTACAGATCGCTGTAGCTCATACGGGCCAGCGTCTCGATGCTGACCCCGTTGCATTCGGATCTGTCGATGCGCTCAAGCACTGGATCGCAAGAGCTACTGATATAGCACCCGAGCTCCAAATACTACTGACGCCTGCCGGCAAACATGTCAAACTCCAGGCACTCCTTACCGAGAAGGATATCTTTGTTTACAGCCGTGAGCTATCGAACGGATCCCAACGCACCATTCCATCCACACCGCTTCCCGATGTCTTCACGCCTGA